ACTAAAGACGGTTAAAAAGTTGCGCATATATCACTCCTGATGAAGGTAATCTTCCAATCTAATTCTCAAGAGGGATGAGACATTTGAGCACGCTGCACTTTTCTCCCCTACAGTCCTCTATGATGTGACATTCATAAAAGCAAAGCAGATTATCTGCTTGTGATTTGGTTCACAGGTTCTTGAACATTCACATATACAATACACAGCATCAGTTTATAGAAATGGGTCTCAGGAATTACATCAACTCCAGGTGGCCTGCAAATACTCAATAATCTATGCATCAGAAACTGCAAAAATGAAGCTGAAATTTTTATATTTTGTTTATTGAATCAATCTGAATTTGATGAATGTAAAAGAAACTCTGAAAACCTACAAAGATCCATTGAGGTATACCTGCTTAAATTTAACCTCTTTAGAAACTTAAAGTACAAAGCAGGAATTCACTGAAAAATTGCCCAATAATTTCTTGAGGTCTGCCATATACTGTAACAAAACAGCAACATACTGATAAATAAGGTTTTTTCTGTTCAATAAAATGGCAAACATCTGAAGAGACCTTTAAGAATGAGGTCAGATTTAAAAGAGCAGTTTGTCTTGAATACTTTGTAACAATGTTCACCAAAATACTGCAGGTTAACAACAGACATTAAATGGATTGTTTTCTATTAAAATTGTTTTTTTTTCTATACGTTTTGACAGTCCTGTGTTTTTTTTTCACTAATTAGGTTTTGATCATGAACTTCAGAAGTCATGTGTTGTGAGATTTTACATACTGCAACCTTATTTTTACTGCCTGATGCCTTTACAAACCTGATATGGTTTAGCTTTACTCTTTTTTATACTAGCACCATTTATTTATATTTTTTAAATGCATGTACTTACATTCCCCTTAATTCTTATTGAAATATTCTTGCTTTACACAATGCCAATGACTGGACTGTGTTCCAAAGGTTCATTAGCCTGAAACATATCTGCCTTGAATACATTTACTGGAGAGGACATGATGGTTAGGATCAGGAATTAAGGAACTTACAAATGAGCATTGCACATTGAACTGCCAGACGCTTTGTGGAAAGTGAGTTATAATCATTTCTAGTACTGTATGGAGATTATATTTTAGCCGCTGAAATAATTATTATTAGGATGGTGTCAAGCAACAGTGATTTATGTATTATTTCCCTTTGTTATTCTCAGAGAGCTACAGCATTTCCCCACCATGACTATAATAAAACCCAAGGAAAGGAGGGAACTTTGGTAAGCAGAAGATTAAGTTGTATTTCTAAGTAGAATGTTAAAACTACTACATGGTTACACTATCATTTATATTCATTGCCTTGTTTTAAATTCAATTTTATTTACAGATTTCAGCCATGTTAAAATTTTGCTCTTTTTTAATGCCTGGCATGCTCAGGTCGGATGTATTCAGACACCCACTTCATAAATGATCATTATAGTACACCGAAGAACATTTAGGTTACAAACTTAAAAGTTGAACAGTATAGAGGAGACCATGTGGGCCAATCATCTTGTTTGGTTGAAGTGGATAATTTATCTTGTTTTGAAAGATGCCAGGCAATTGGGTTCAATAACATGGCTGCATAGCACGTTTCAGATTTCTACCATTCTCTGTGTAAAAAAGTACTTCCTATTCCACGTTTTAAATGTACTTCCACTTAACTTTCCTTGAAATCCTGAGGAAGTGCATTGAAATGGCTTTGGCAATACCTTAGAGAATTATGAACACTTGAATTGTCTCCTCATAGTTATTCTTCTCTGTATAAGACTTAAAAAGGTTCAAATCTTTTAACCACTAGGAAATTCCTTTGAGCCTGGGAATGTATCTGATCACTCTTCTCCACAACTGATTCCATCTTCTTTGATACGTAGTAACCAGAATTGAACACAATGTTTTCAATGAGGTCTAACTAGTGCATTGCACTATTTTAACATAACATGCATAAATTTAAACTCTACACCTCTAACTGCACATCCACTCTGCGTTCCTTTTGCCTTTTTTATTACTTCTCCACATTGTCTAGAAGTTGTGATATTTAGTGCCCTCGCAAGTGGAAGACAAACAACAGGGACATTACACAAAGCCATGAGCCCTTCAATTTGTAAAGCACCTGGCTAGATTGGTTGTGCTACATGCTGGCAATAGAACCTTCATGACCGTATACCACAAAACTACCCGGCACAGCAACTGTAGCCTCTTACCACCAATTACCATCCATCCATTTTCTACAGGGTTGCGGAGGTCCCTGTAGGCAACAGCCACAAACCAGGATACACCCTGGACAGGATGCCAGTCCATCATCTACCCAAATTTTCTTCAAAACAGGCTCCGCTTCAACCATATAATGCAAGGCTGAAGTTGCTGTGTGCGGATATGTTTTACTGTGTCTGAAAGACCAATGGGTTATCCTGACTTTTGTGTCGCTGTCACAAGAGGTAGAGCAGGCGTGTGGTGTAAACATGTGATCAACTTATGGTAAGTGAGAGGGCATATAACAATAAACAGCTCCATCCATCATTACAGAAGTGCATTGTATTCTTTCTGCAGTTATGTGTTAACAGTCAAACTGGTTAAATGGAATGGATCCTTCAGGTAACCTATTGAGTCATTACACAGAGCTGACTGCTACTTTTGCTACTGTTACCTTGAAGATGACTAGGGGGCAGGTAGTTGGGACCTGAATACCCCCAATGACTTCATTTTGTCACATGCCTGCGTTTAACATACCCCAGACCACAAAGCCTATCACTTTCAATGATCCAATACTATCATTACAGCACCATTAAAACACACAAACCATGTACCTTTGGCGCAAACATAAGTTTTGCACATCAACAAACAGGCACACATTTCTTGCCTCATTGTGTAGTAAGACGTTAGCCATTGCATTCTAAAAAAGTAAAGAGGAATGCTAAGAGAAAGTGATCTGCTACAGGCCTCTTACAATCTCTCATAATATTCTACTCGCACAGTTTAATGGGTTAGCGTTCAGTAATAATTAGGAGTGGAATGACATGTTCCATTTTTTATGTGTTTCAGCATATCATTTAGTTTTCCAAATGTCACTCATGATATTGTTTCCATCTGTAAAAGATTCCTGTTTGAAAAAGCGTACACAAGAGTTTCATTTGGGTACATTTAACCTTCCAAAAGCCGTTATAAGAAAACTCGCCAAAGAAAACAGAACTTATTGTTCTTTTTCAACAGCAAACTTGCTATTATGCTTAGTTGGGTTTTAGCCAGTGGTCATACCGCAAGTAAAACTGTTTTTTCCAGAAATGTCAAAACAAAATCATAACAGCCAAGAAGTAAAAATATGATTTCTTAAAATTAACATTAGCCTTTATCCTAAGCACAGTAGGAGCGTGTTTAGAAGTAGCAAGAAAACCTGTAATAAAATCACTGCATTGATATTTAATGTAGTGAAGCTGAAAATGCAAACACTTTTTAAAGAACATTTCTTAGTCAACAGTAACCAAAATGTTTTGTACACGCCAGGGTGTATGCAGGAGTAAACTCAATTTGTAATCAAAGAAAAGAGTAAAGAAAATGCACTCAACACATTCCAGCTGTGACATTGGAAATATTCAACAATAATTCCAAAAGGAAATTGGTTTCAACACAAACATGCAAAAAAATGGAAATGCTACGATCAGTGTAAGGTAAAAATAGTTATTTTGTATTCATGATATTAGATCTGTAAATTTCAATACTCCGATTATTTAAATGCCATATGTGGCTATTTCCGTGTTAACTGCTTCTGGCTCACATTTGAATTTCTCTTGAAACCTGAAGAACAGATCAAAGGACTATTATACAGCAGAAGAAATCGGTCCAGTTTCTTTCAGACACTGTCCTCCACAAAGAATTTGCAAAAGAAAACCATCTGCAAACCAGGACACTACTTATGTGTCTGCATATTGAAGAATTATGACTGCCATCTCAATTAGAGCATCTGCAAGGTCATAGTTTCATCACATCGTTTGTAACTGCATCTCTAGCATTCATCTAAACCATTAAAAGTCTGACCAAACCAATATAACTGAAATACAAGTGATTATAAGTCCTTGGAAGGCAAAGCAAAGAATTAATTTAATGAAAAAATAGCTCAGCTGCTGTGTTAAACAAATATCAAGGTTAGTCTCTCAGCTCTGTGCATTTTAAATCTGTAAGGAAACTGAAGGATGTGGTAGGGGGATAAGTAACCGTTTTCAAAGGAAACCACTACACTTTCTCCAAAGGGCTTCTAATCAATTTACAGGCCCGCCTTAGTGTTCTCATTACCACATTCCACAGACTACCTGCCACAGCAGCTGCAGCCTGTTAGCACCCATTACTATCCATCCCTTTCCTACAGGGCTGCGGAGGAGCCAGTGCCCCTCGCGGCAGGCAGAGGCCGCGAGCCAGGACTCACCCTGGACAGGACGCCAGTGTCCGTCGCAGGGCACACACAGACGCAGACACGCACACACATCAGGCCAGAGCTCATTTTTCCAGAATCCAAATAAACCTACCAGTATGTCCTTGGAATGGGGGAGGAAACTCAAGCACCTGGCAAAAACCTACGTAACCACAGGGAGAGCATCTAAACACCAGGAACTGAACCAAGGGCTCCAACGCTGTGATGCACCAATGCTAACTGTTGCATTCTCATGCCACCCCATGAGAAAAACACCTCACAGAACCAATAAGGAACAAGATACCTTGTGTGTTCTGCATAATACTCCTGGCATATTACACACTGTAGGGATACAAAAGCAACCAGGAAAAAAAATAAAGGTTTTCCCTAGAATAACTTGGAAGTATAATGAAAGCTGAGCTAACCTCACATTCAGAAGTGCAAGATATTGACTTCATGGTGGCTAGATTATGGCATTAAACACTCTTGTTTTCCCCACTCATGGAATATTATCACAGCTTTGAGGCTGCTGAGCATACATTCACAGCAATGACAGTTTTCAAATAAGCTAAGAAACGTTTTTACCTGTCATTGATGCTCCAGTTCAGGCAGAGGTTAAGTGAACTCAAACTCGTGCATTTCCTCACCACTTCAATGACGGTTTCGTTATTCAACTCCGAGATGTGACGCAAATCCAGGCTGCTCAAATTCTTAAGCTAAAAATAAAATGAGGGAAAGACTAGTTTAATCTAACACCATATCGGAATTAAAATAACAATGCTGAGATACAAAATACTGAATGATGCATATACAAAGGCTGTATGTTGGGAATGGATGTACCATCTGGTTACTATTTGTCTGTACCTCACTCTGAAGAAACATTCTGGCACCAGTGGAAGTGGATTTAACAAACAGAGAGGAATAAGACATTAAGGAATAACAGCTCACAGTTATCCATTCCGATAAGCAGCCCTAACCTAATGGAGACACTAGATGTTTTTCTTGATGACTCTCAAGAACGGAATAGTAGGAGCTCCTTGACTGACAAAACTGGAAGAAGCACTTGTCCAAGCGCAGGTTATACTTGTATGATCCAAGCAGGTTCAAACCCTGTTCCTAGCCGCCTGTGACAGGGATTAACCAAGAAAGAACACAACTGAATTAACCTTTCAAGTATTATGCACTGGAGACACTCAGTTTAAATTTAGGAAAAGGAGTGATAGCTGTCAAACACTCTATATTGTGGAAATATTTAATTGCCATTTTCAATCCCAAAAAGCAAGGTTTGTCGCTTTTCCATGCTGGAACTCATTTCTGAGAGTTTTGTCTGCAGAAATACCAAAAGGTGGCATTATTAAAAGGATATACAAGAATTATGTACTTTCTGATAAATACCAAAATCCACTTCTGTGTGTAATTAAGGGTAGTCAATGTTGGGAATTGAGAAGGCTGCCTGCATGGTTCTGAACCGCGGAACACACTGTAACTTCACACAGCAGTTTGTGTTTTGTAAGTTTGTAGTTCAAACTGCTTTTTTATTTCTCCACTCCCCCAATTTCCCATCAAACTGTTCAAAGAAAATTCTCATGACCTTGCTCAGCTGAAAACTGGGAGCATGTTTTATTATTAAATTTTTCCTAGTGTGTATTCAAGCTGGTGTTGGGGATGACTATTATTACTTAACATCTATTTAACTCTTAATTCCCCCCTCAACTAATTTTACAAAAGAGAAGCCATTTAGGCAAGCAATTTATACCGTTTTCTACAATTATGTGGTATTCCTATCCCTTTCCATTACATTAAAGTATGAAAAATGTTTTAAAGTGCCATTATGTATTCACATTCAATTCAGCGACTCATTAATTTATGTCAACAAAATGCGAACAATTAATAGATACAAAATGTTCTGTGCTGCTAATCTAGTTACTCTGTACAGTGATGCAATGCAATACTAAAGAATTACATTACCTTGAATAAATAACTGCAGCCTTCTAAATTTATATAAATGACCACTTCTTAACAGTCCATTAGCATGGAAAGGCCCATACAAGAGACTGAAGACTCTTGAGTTTAAGAATAATCCCTCAGGCCTTATCAATTGGACTCACCCATTGTACCTACCTTGTACTAATGATACCTAATGATTATGGCTTAATACAAAATTAGTGTGCCTAAAACTTTCACAGTTTGATTATAAAGAAATTAAGTACTGGAAGGTACACTGACAGCAAAGGTTTATTAGAAACCAGTCTTAATATAGTCAAAAGGTCTTAATAATGATCCTGTCATAACTTCATGGTATACATACTGTAACTAAATATTTTCCAATAGTAATGCAAATACAAATGAAAAATATTCACACCTGTGGAAAAAGAAATTATAATTAGAAATGAGAAAATTAGAAGATTTATCATTTTTAAAAAAAGACAGATGTCCCTGAGGAAAGAAGATTGAATTACTGTATACTATCTCTTGAGGCAAAATGATTTTATAATAAAAATAAAACTAAACTTAAAAAATATTTTAAGTTGAAGTGAATTTCTTACCTGACATTTAATCTAAGAAAGAAACACATATGCATCTTCCTGGAAGTTATGCCTTGTGTGCTATTTGAGACCTGTATTAACATCACTGCTGCTACTGTATAATTCTTCAAGACACTTTACAGGATGGTACAGTATACTGATTAAATCCCTGCATTGCTAGACACTTTATCAACATGAAATGTCCATTAGTTAACACTATTGTGTTTGAGTATATACAGTACTGTGGATAACTCGATCACCAGATGCAAACAGGGCCAGCTATTAGTAATTTCAAATTGTCTGGTAATTGTGTCATTTTTATTGCTGTAATGGTTTATCGCCTCTTGTGTTTTAAATTTACAAGTCTGCAAATTGCTGCATTAAGCTCACTTTTCCCCACAGAATGACTCACTTCAATTTATTAAAGGCCAATCAATGGACCCACTTCGGAGTTTCAGAGGATTAAACATCTTCTCATCCTTAAATAATCAGCCATACTCTCCTCATAGAAAATAATCAGCATTAATAAAGCTTTGCAAAAATGTTTCACATTGATCTCTTATTGAATACAACTGCCAAATACAGGTAGGCTTGAAAAGCAGGATAGAAGAACTCACCTTAACATAGGTCAGGTAAGGATTACAAAACGTATTCAGTAAGAGGATAAGAATAAAAGATAAGAATGTTAAATCCCCTCCCATACAAAATAATTAAAATGAACCGGTAAATGCAAACCTACAAGAAACAGACTATTAGACTAATTAATAGAAAAAAGACATATCTGATGCATCTGTGGAATTAATCTGTTCTAAATTTAAAAATGCAACCATAGAAGTCACAACACCAAAGTAATCCTAGCTCACGTTTTAATTTAAAAATTAAAAATGCAGGAGACCATCCTAAGGACAGATCTGCAATTTCAGAACACCCAAAAGACAGACTCAAGAATGAATTTCAGTCACCAAACCCCTGGTCCTCAATTCCCCTCTTCTAATATTCTTAATGCAGCACTCCTTCACTCATTTCTCAAAAAATATTTATGATGAGACAAAGGAGACAAATGATCTAAAAATTACAGAGTGAGGAGATTTAAAGGCTGTCAAAAATGACACTTTTGTCGTATCAAGTGAAACAAGTTTGTATAACCTCTTATGAAATGGTGCTGATCACTAAGCATTTTCTTTAGTTTATTTCACACATGCCAGCACCCATCAAATTTTGGATTTTTGTCTTTGTCTGCTATCCTCACCATCACCCTGTCCTCTCTTATCTCAAATCCCTATACTCTTTATATGCCCTTCACACTAGTAAATCGTACTGTATTGCAATCCTTCATGTTGTCTCACTGCTACTTATACTATACCTTCCAGAGACCTTTATTTCGTACAGTAACAATGCATTAAGATTGTGGTGTGGGCTGCACTTTGCAAAAACATTCTACATTGTACTGTATCATGTGTGTGCTTTTTTAGTTATCTGTGAGTTTCCCATGTACAGTATATTACAGTACATAATACAATTGTATAACTAAGAGTCATTTGTCTTGGATAAATAAATGGGTAAAACACAGGAAATGGTCAAACTACAGAAGCTTCAGAAACTATGACAATACAAAAGTGAAAAAGACAAAACCAGCACACATGAGAGGAAAGCCACATCAAAGCCAAGCAAGATAATGAAGCCTCTTGTGTGTAACAGTTTATACATTATAAACTTTAACTGTGGATGCAGTATAATACTGAAAACAGGTTAAAACATATTTCATGTATTTCTTTCCATGTTAACATCCCAAAGTGCCGTCTAAAAAACAAAAAAGTATATAAAGACTATTTAAAAGCAGTATGAACAATATTTAAATGCATCAAGTTAGATTCTCTAATATTAGCCGATAATATTAGTGCATTTTCTGGGCCCATAAACATACCAAAGTATGTGGGAGATACTGTGCCTGACGTCAATCCCAGTGATTGAGCAACCCTCCCTACCCAAGACACAAATCTCACAACTAGCAGTACTAGAGATCCCAAACACATTTCTAACTGAGTAAGAATATAATGATCAACATTAGCTACAGAAGTAGACTTAAGGTCCAATAAAATAGAGTAGCAGATTCAGAAGATATTAAGACTAATTTGCAACTTTAACTGGGGCTGTTTTAAATGTCATTGAGAATTCTCCCCTTTTTTATTAGGTGATGGTAAACTTACAATGCTCTCCAAAATGTTAACCAAGAAGGAAAATGGGCTGGTAATTACTTGGATTTTCAGTGACCCAGTTTGACTATAAAGTCTCTGAGAAAACGACAGCAATTTTAAATGTAAACGATACAACTCCAGTGATCAAGAACTCAGTGATTGGATTAGTCACCAAATGTAAAGAGAACAGAAATTAGATTGAACTAATAAAGCGCAAATGGGATCTCTGATAATATTATTCACCAAAGGCTAAAGAGCAAGAACATGAACACGAGATGAGACAGCAGCAGTGTGGTCTGGAAGGCAAAGAGCAGGGATGGGCTCTAAAGGTCAAGTATTAGGTTTCTTTCAAGAATCAGTTCACGCTAATAGCGTAACCTTAAAGAACATGTGTGAGGAGAATACCTGTGAAACATCAAAACTAAACAACAGTAAATAACAATAACATCTTGGCAGGTTGAAAATCCCAGGTTGAAAAAAAAAAAAAATTAATGAAATACCCATCTCCCTATTCTAAATATGCATCAACTAACCATGGGAGGCCGTTTTTAACATAGGGATTCTCTATACAGAAAATCAGAGTTGAACTAAAGTAAGAGCGGCGAGATCTCTTAACAATGTCAAAATACTCAACTTGAACCTGATATTAAAGGCTGATTGGAACAAGGATCTCTCACCTAGCATGCACTTTCTTCTGTCTTTCTGTCTCTTCCCACGTCCTTCTCTCTGTCTTCTGTGTCCTTTTATACTGTTTTCCTGAACTGTTGATGACCCTTATTCTTTTACCAATTCATTTGATCAATGTGTTTCAGAGACCACATACTGTACAACTCTGCAGATATCTCATCTTCCACACATGGTTTCTGCCTGCTTTAAAGCTCCTGAGAACTGTAAATGTTGACACTAGCTAGGTGTTGACCATCGTCTCTAAATTCTTAACACAACAGGCCCTTACAATAAGCAACAGTACTTTTTCTTATTGTTCACTGAAGACTG